GGCCCCCTCAACGAAGGGGGTGGGCTGGGAAGAGAGCGTCCGTGACCAGAGCGGAGGAGGATGGTTGTGAATTGGCGCAAGTAGTGCGAGCGAAATAAAAAAACAAAACAAGACAAAGACAATTATGCAAATAGAATGGATGAGGATAAAGAAGATTTCCCCGTCACTTTCATGGCGGAAAGGCTCTACTCCACCCTCTAGTGATGCTGCTCTTTGCCTGTGGTTTTGTTTACTCTGCGATTCGACGGGTTCCCTCCACTAGCTGTGGATTGCTTTTTTTTTGTGTATTTTTTTTCTCCGCAGCAACAATCGTGGGCGTGAGCGTGCCGCCTGTAGGATGTCCCTGCAGGCTGTGGGTTGGCTGAGTTCCAAACTTGGCATCAACATTGACGGTCGCACGGATGCAGAGGAAAGGACTGGGTCAAATGCCTCCCCCTCCCCCTCTTCCCAGCGCCTGTCCAGCGCTGCCATGACGTTGGACATGTGCCTGCACAAAATCAATGATGCGGTGTTTGGCCGCGACAATGATTTCGGCAGTGGCGGCGAGAACAGTTCCTTCACTGGTAGAAGCGGCGTCGGTGGGGGCAGCGGCGGAGACGAGGTGGAGTTGGACGAGAATGGCCTCCCCCTCACAAAGAACTGGTACTACTTTGATAAGGAGTTGAACCGCTGGAACGTGAGCCCTGACGCGCCCGCGCATATTAAAGAGGACTACGGGCGTAGGCTGAGAGAGGAAGAGGACGAACGAGAGGGGCGAAATGTCGTTCCGCCGCCACCGCCGCCGCCACCGCCACCGCCGCCGCCTTCACTCGCGCCCCTGATGCCTTCTGTGCCGGGGGAGCATCCTTCCATGTATCGGCGAGGCAGCGCCTTCCCCCCCGGAGTACCGCCGCCGCACCAGCAGCAGGGTTCGCATCCTCAAGGGTTATTTGGCAGCCAACCGCCAGCGGGGGCCTCGCTTCACCGGCCGCAGTACGCCATGCCAACCTACTTTGAGTTGAGCACCTCTGCACCGTATGTTTCTACAACCCACCCATCCACGCCGCACAATTCTACGCATCAATACCCACAGCCCCAGCCGCAGCCGCAGCCGCAGCCGCAGCCCTCAGAACACCCACAAGAAGCGCAAAATCGTCCGTCGCAGCAGCCCCAGCCAGGGCAAGACTTTTGCCAACATCCCTATCAAAGCCAAGGGGAATACGCACAGTTTCAGCAGCAGAGCTATCAACAACGTGATCAGGGGCAACAATATCAACAACAACAACAACAACCTCCGCAGCCGCAGTCCCTATTGCCCCCGCCAGCAACAGGCTATGTTATGGGTGGTCAGAACCACTCTTTTCCGCCTCCCCTTCAGGGTTCGAGGCCGGGCTATCCTAATCGGTTTCCTTCCTGATGTAGATGGGGGAAAACAAGCGCCTAAGTCTTGTCTTCGACGTTTTTTCGCCCCCCGTATTTCCTGCATATATAGTTCTATATACTCTGTTATATACCTATAGAGCGACGGGGGTTAAAAAAAAGAGGAAAGAAAGAAAGAAAGTTAATGAAACACTGTTTGTTCGCCACCTTCCTTCTGAGCCCTTGATATTGTCGATGTTTCTCTGCCTGCATTTGCATACACCCGGAAGGAATACAAAAAAGTCAGGCGCAAATTGGTTTGCTTCCTGCTGTTCTTTTTATTTTTACTTTGCTTTATCCTCTGCCCTCCTCCTTTTTTTAAAAAATTGATTCTGAATTGACTATCCCAGTCTCTTCTGTTCTCACTTTCCTATTGATTCAATTTTGGCTGTAGGATCAATACCCAGGGGAGTCTCGAGTCGTTTAGTAGCTCAGAAAGTGGGAGTTGGCGTGAACACAGCTTTTTATTTTTGGTTTGTTTTTATTTTTTCCTCCTTTGCTGTTTTTTTCCCCCCCTCCCCCCTCCTACCCTGCTGTGCCCGTCAAAGCAATGGAGTTTGCGCAAAAGGATGGCGCCGAGGAGGACCTGTACGCGGCCTTTGAGCCGGACTCAGAAATCGCGTTTGCCGCGTCCTCCAGGAACTTTTCTGGCGTCCAGCCGCAGGAGGCCGTTGGCGGCGGCGGATTCCCAAACCCGCTGATGCAGGCCCCGCCGTCAAAGTGGGGCGCCACGAGCATCGGCTCTGCATGGGGCGTTCCGGGGAGTCGGCTGGGCACCATTGGCGGCGGCGTCGGGGCGGCCCGCCCAATGACCTCCAACCGCGGAGTGGGTTTCAACGCCGCCTCCACGCAGTTTAACAACGGCGTCATGTTTGACCCCACCGGTCAGGGTCGGGTGGCGATGGCGATGGGTCCTGCGCCGCCGCTGAAGAAGCGGGGCGAAAACAGCCCCGAAGAGCAGTGCGCGGAGGTTGAGAAGCTGATCCATAAGCTTATTGAAGAAAGTGCGGTGCTAGCATTGCAGAAGGACTACGGTGCGGCACTGGAGAAGGCAAAGGAGGCAAGCAAGAAGGAGCGTCAGTTGTGTAAGCAGCGGGAGCAGCTTGGACTTGCCGATCAAATTAATGCCGACCTGACGTACGCGGTGCACTTTAACCTTGCGGTGCAGTATCAAAATCATCAACTCTACGCGGATGCTCTCAATACGTACTCTCTCATTCTCCGAAACCTACAATTTCCACAGGCCGCACGTCTGAGGGTGAACATGGGAAATATACACGTTGCCCAGGGTAGGTATCTTCTTGCCATTAAAATGTATCGTCTGACACTAGATGAGACGCCTACCGCTTCTAGGGAGCTTCGCCACAAACTTTTGCGCAATATTGGTAACGCCTTTGTGAAGCTTGGTCAGTACCGTGATGCCGTTGTCAGCTACGAGGCTATCATGGAGGGCAACGGGGACATCAATGCAGGCTTCAACCTATTGCTCTGCTATTATGCTCTTGGAGAGCCAGAGAAAATGAAGCGAACATTTCAAAAGCTTCTAAACTGCAAAATGATGGGCATTGAGGAGGAAGAAGACACAGATGAGGAGAGGAAGGATGTACTTGTCGACGATGCACTTCGCAAGAAGACCAAGGAGGATCGATCCCACTTCTTGAATTGCATCATGACTGCCGCCCGCCTTATTGCCCCTGTTATTGACAAGGATTGGCGTGCGGGCTACGACTACTTAATTGAGCGTCTTCGCCACTACGAGATGCGTGATTCCTCTTCCCACGTGGCAAGTGAACTAGAGATGTGCAAGTGTCTTTACTACTTGAAGCATAAGAGTTACAGGGAGGCCATCGATGGTCTGAAGGCGTTTGAGAAGAAGGATAGACTGTTGCGCGCCCGGGCGGCGACAAATTTGGCTTACCTGTACTTTCTGGAGGGTGATTACGACAGCGGGGAGAAATACAGTGACATGAGCCTTGAGGCTAACCGCTACAATGCCAGGGCACTAGTCAACAAGGGAAACTTTCTCTTCATGAAGGGGGGCTATGAGAAGGCAAAAAGTTACTACAACGACGCGCTTGCCGTAGAGGCCGACAACATTGAGGCCATCTACAACCTTGGTCTCACAGCCAAGCGTCTTGGCCTCTACGAGGAGGCGCTGAAGATGTTTAAACGGGTACAGTCACTTGTGGACAGTCATGAGGTGGTGTACCAGATTGCCGACATCAACGACCTCGTAGGCAGTCAACATGCGACGGAGTGGTTCAGTCGTCTCATTGGTCGCGTCCCGACAGATCCAAATGTTTTGGCACGCATGGGCTCTCTCTCCGCGCGCGAGGGGGACGACAGTCAGGCCTTCCACTATTATTTAGAGTCGTACCGTTATTATCAAGTAAACATGGATGTCATCTCGTGGTTAGGCGCCTACTTTGTGAAGAATGAGGTTTACGATAAGGCCATTCAGTTCTTTGAGCGTGCCTCGCAAATTCAACCTCTCGAAGTGAGATGGCAGCTGATGGTGGCGTCATGCCATCGACGTCATGGGGATTACGCTCAAGCCAAACGTTTGTATGAGACTGTGCACCGCAAATACCCGGAAAATATGGAGTGTCTGCGCTACTTAGTTCACCTGTGCAAGGATGCTGGCCTCGTTGACGAGGCCAATGAGTGGTTCAAGAAGATCAAGAAGTTGGAGCAGCGCCAGCAGGAGGCGACGGATGAGGCGGGGTCTCGGGATGAGGATGAGGACGCCAAGGGCGGGGCGCACGCGGCCGCCGGTCGACGCGCCGTTGCCCCCGTAAGCACTCGAGGGGGTGACCTGCTGAAGGAGGACGATATGGACGAGCCGCAAATGGCCCTCGCTGAGGCCAAACCAGCGAACGACGACGACGACGACGACGACATTGACCTGCCCGGACTTTGATGTAAAGTGCGAAAGCGGCGAAGAAGGCGTGGGTTGGGGTGACGCGGGGAAAGCAAAAAAACAAAAAAAAACAAAAAAAAACAAAAAACAAGCCCCGCCTGTGCCATTAGAGAGAAGCAATGTACGGGAAGTTGAAATGTAGACAGTCCTTTACATTTATAGCTCTAGACGAAAGGGCAAAACAAAAAAAAAGTACACGTATATATATATATATATATACCCTTCCTATTTCTTTCCTACAAACACGAGGATAGAAGTGTGCATCTCCCTGTGGGTGGTGGATTTTAAAAAAAAGAAGAACCAGCGATGGACGTGAACAAAGGGGGAAAAGAAAGGGCAAACGGTGGAGGGGCCGGTGAAGGAGATCCAAGAGAAAGGAAATAGAGGAAAAGAGGACAGAAAAAAGAAAAGAAAATAGAATCATTTACTCGGAGGGAAAAAAAAGGAAATGGAACCACTACAGCAAGAAAACAATGTGGCCTGGATGTGATCAGCAATACGGCGCTGTAGATGAACGTTTCAACTGTCTCCTTTGCGGGAGGGGCACGACTAATGAGAGGGATGGTCTTCCAGGTTTACTATAAGTGCTGTATGGTGTCTGCAAACACAGTCTTGCACGCCGATGGCTTGGGCTATTATCCTTGCTGCTTTTTCTTTTTTCTATCGTTGTGTTTCTGTGGGCTTCTTTACTCTCCCCCCCTTGGGTGGTGATGAAATTTTACATCATGCATCTCTCTTGTGCGAAGCCTTCACTCCTCCGTCGCCCTTTTCTTGCACTTAACTATGCATATTTGCCGCTGACTGGCATTGATTTTGTCTTGCCAATTGATTTCCTCTTTTTTTTTTTTGAGCTGCCCATCGTGTTCTCTGTCTTTCCTTTTCTGTTTACCGCAGCAGCCCTTTGTAAAAGTCATGTCCAACACCACCCACACTGACCTTGACGCAGAACATGTGGTGGTCCTTGTGTCCTTCCAAACGGCTCTATTTGTGGAGGGGTCGGCGTACACGGTGGAGGTTGGGCACTGCGTCCCCGTCGAGGGGTACTTCGTGGTTGTCGCCAATCCCTGGGGACCAAGGGCGACGCGCGAAGTGATGTACGAGAAGGGGTTTGTCCATTCCCCGTCCTCCGGACTCTTTACAGGCATAAAAAACTGGATGAAGAGACTGACGGATCGCCTTGCGTTAAAGCATGGAGTTTCGCCGACGCTGCGAAGGCAGGATATAGAGGCATTACCAGCAAAACTTCATGTGTTGAGGGCCATGCGGGCTTTTGAAGAGGCTATGTGGAAGAAGAAGGATGGCTCTATGATTTTCGTCAAGAATGAAACGGATCCGTTATTTTTTGAGTTGGAATGCGTCTTCGATGCTGTGCAGCGTGTCAAAAGAAGAAACACCCCCAATGAGACGAAAGGCACAACTGTTTTTGTGACACTCCGAGAGCGGCTCGATAGTGTACATGCCGCACTGCGGTGGTTTCGCAGTGAACTCGCCCGGTTGCCTCCGTACGCGGTTGTCGCGATGGAGGATCTCATTCCTGCCTCGGGGGAATTAATTGAATTTAGTGCCGAGGCTGTGCGGTCCCTTGATTCCAATCGGTGTGCCGTGCATCCCACTGACCAGAAAAACCGCTCTGGGCTTCCGTTCGACTGCTGCCGTGAAGATGTTTGTCTGCTTCGACTCGTACAGGAGCACCTCGCCGACCACCTTGAAGGGCTCGATGCCGACGGTGTGCCTATGCTAGTTGTCCCACCCAGGGTTTGTGAAGCGGACGGTGATGATTTAGGTGACTCTGGGTGAGGCGCAACCTTGTGTGTATACCAGTGCATTAGCTACGCAAGCACACACGCACAGACGCATGCGTAGAACAATGAAGGACAAAAGTGGTTGTCTTAGCGCAAGGTGTGTTTGTCTTTTTGCCCTTGTTGTTTATTGTCTCTAAGAAAATCGAGTGAATCCAATTTGTACTTGTGCAGTAAAAGGGGGTAATTCCTTGTTTTGTTTTTTTTGAGAGCCGCCTTATCCTTCCCAATCCCCAATGATTGCCCTCCTCTGCCATCACAACCTTCGTGTTGGGGAGAAGAGACTTGGTTGCGTCGTGTTCCCTCCCCCTCCCCCCTTTTTATTTTGTGGCTTGCTCGCGGCAGTCTTTCTTTCTGCACTGGGTTCCATCGCGCAGAGGGATGGCAAAAGAGGGGAAAAATTGTGGTTTAGGATACCTTTGGGGCGGCGTTTTTTTTACTACTTCTATTTGTGTGTTGTGTGTTGTGTGTGTTGTTCTTTTGGAGCCCAAAAGGAAGATATTGTACTTCTGGGACTCCGACCTTTTGAGGGCGAGATGGGGATAAGAAAACAGCAAAAAAAAAAACGATTATAATGGTTCCAAATTCCTTTTGTTTTTTTCTCTTCCTTTGGATGGTGCCTTGCGGTCTTCTTCTTTGTTGCCACAAGATCGTTGAACGAAGGACTCCAGTTTCTTACATATGTATATATATTTGTATACGTTGTTGTTGTTCTTTTTTTTTTGCTTCACTGTCTGTGTGTGTTGGGGTGGTGGGTTTGATAGTGTAGTGCCTGGGCCCTTGCTTGGGTCTGGGCAAGATGCAGCCTCAGCCGCAGCCGCAGCAGCAACAGCAACAGCCACCGCCGGGGTTCCAGTTGGTTAGGGCGCCGTACCGGGCGACGGAGGCGCAGTTTCACGCCTTCGTCCGCGGCTTGGACGCCGTTCTGAACCAGTGGACCGCGCTTCACCTCGTTGCACAGCACTGTGACGGGTTGGCTCTTCAATCCATGTATCAGGAGCTCATTGCCTGGTTCCAGTCCGAGGGTGAGTTGTATTCTGATGACCTGGAAATATTTTTCGAGGACTTCTTTACTGAGGCACGCTCTGTCGTGATCGAGGACGACAGCATGAAGGAGGTGGGGGACGTGCTGCATGAAATGTACTGCCGCTGCTGCCAAAATGACTTTGGCCTGGTGGAGCAGTACCTGGCGAGCTGGGAGGTGTACCGTCAGGTGAATCCGGTGCGGCTCTCGGTGGATGCCGGCGGCCACGACGACGACGACGAGAATGGGGCCGACGGCGCCGCACTGGGCGCGGAGGCGCAAGAGATGCAGTTGACTGCTCACGAAGCGGAGGAGGTTGACACGCCGCTGGCAAATGCCCAGCCGAAGCCGCGGAAGAAGAAGGCAAAGAAAAATGCCTACGAGCGTGACAGTGATGGCTGGTGCATGGTGCAGCGCTAGACACGTTAATAAACACTAACACGAAGTGATGCCATCGACGAATCTACATCAATGAAAAAAAAGAAAAGAAGTTGTCATCTTCGATTAAGCTGTTGTTGTTGTTGTTTTTTTGTTTCTACGACTTTGCCCCGTTTTTGCGGCGTTGAAGGTGGGTTTGGGTGCCGGGTCGTGGATCCACTTCTTATTACTTCACTCCATGATTCTTTTTCTTTTGTTTTGTCTTTGTTTTCCTCTTGTTATTGCTCCTTTCTTTCACGTGCGTTTCTCGCACGCATGGCGCAAATCAATTAGACGGGTAAGGCACACATACTTGCTTGCTATATATATATATATATATATACTACTTGCAGCCGGGGGTTAGGGTTGGTGAGCCACATTGCATAACAAGGAAGCAGACAAAGAGCGAGATTAGTATAGCATAGGAGCCCATTTTTTTGTTGCTTCTTCTATAGTTCTTGCTTCATTTCTCCTGTTGAATATTTCTTGTGTTGCGGCAGTGGAAGGAGTAGTAGTAGCCCTTCGTCAGCAGGGAGGCAACAGAAGAAAGGCAGGAAAAAGGAGCGAGGAAAAGAAAAGGAAAATAGCGTAAAAGACACCAAGGCATCAGGGGGGAAGAGTAATCAAAATAATAACGTTCCATGCTGCGGTTCGTGTCTGGCAGGGCTTCTCTTGCGCACGCCGCAGTGGCCTGTCGCTATGTGGCCGCTGCGGGGTTTCAGGGTTTACCGAAGTTTGAGATCCACGACGTCCGCGATGATCCTGCACTGGGAACCATGACGCGTGTGGCGGTTGACGGCAAGTTGCTGCTGATCTCTCAGTATCCACAGCTTGGGCCGCGCAAAGTGGACCCGAACGACTTGAGCCCGCAGTTTGACGCGGACCGCCGCATCTCGGTGAGGCTGCGTCACATTGACCTCGCGGCATTGGTATGCGTTTGCCGGAGCCGCGTGCCCAAGCACGAAATGACGAACAGGTCCTACTCTCTGGTCTTTGAAAAGTCGGTGGACGGCTACCACCTGTACGGCAAGATTCATCGGGTGGCATCGCAGAAGATGGAGGATTGGTCGGTAAGCTTTGACAAGCACTTTGCCGTGACGCTGGAGCACTTCTTGGAGAGCGCCCTCACGGAGAGCTTTGGATTTCGCCAGCACTACGCTGCGCGGCCCCCTGAGGGTGGCGCACGTGACGCCAACGGCGCCGTAGCAGGTGCCGGCGGCGGACAGCAACGGCGGAGGAACGCGGACGCGACGCAACGTCGTTGAGTGGGGAGAGCACAAACCCTGGTGCTGAGCAGAGAACAACTTCCGGGGAGAGAAGAATGAGGACGGGGAGAGGAGGAAACCATAAACAGGCAAACAAGCAGATACAAAGAGGAAAAAAGAAGAAGAGAACAACATAGAGTGGTGCCAGAAACCTCAATTTTGTACTGAGTTTATATATCTGTCTTCCGTTTTGCAGGTTCAATGGGCCCCGGTCCCATTCGCTGTCAGTGTCCCTGACGTTTGTCTTCAGTGGGCTGCTGCTGCTGCTGCTGCTGCTTGGCTGAAGCCCATGTGTGTGCTTGTCTCCCTCACTCTCATTTTTTTGTTGTTGTTTGCTCCCATTGCATGTGGGTTCATCCTGTCTTCGCTGAGGCGCTACTTCTGTCGTTTTTGTTTTGAGAATGCATTTTTATAACCTCTCTTTTCTCACCGATACTTTTTTTTCTTTTGTGCGTGCATGTGCGTTTCTGTGTGTGTGTGTGTGTGTGTGTCGTTCTCTGCCTTTTTTCCATTATGCACGTGGCGTTGTATCCAACTTCCCTCGGATGCAGCTGACCACATTTAAGGGTGACGAAGGTTAACATTAGCTCAACGGCGGCTCCGTTTCTATTCAGCAAGGATTGTGGGCCTAAATATATACAGTATATAATAAACATATACATATACTAGTATATATTCACGTTCTTTTTTGTCTTATTCGGCGTGTGCGCGGAAGTGTTCTTGAGTGACAGTGAAATAAACAAGCATCCATGTGGCGCAGGTGCATTGAACGTTCCGCAGGCCTTCTCGCAACCGCGGTGGGCGCCCGCAGCATCCTTGTGCGGGATCTACGCACCCGTGTGGAGATCAGCAAGGGGGACATGACATACCCGGCGGTGCTGCTCTGGCGGTGGAAAAGCAGCCGTCAAAGGCACCTTGTGCTGAGCGTGCATTCCCCCGATGAGGCTGAGCTCGAGTCTTCGGCATTGCTAAAGTCGCGGCCGCCCTCGGCGCCGTTGCCTACACCCGCAGATTATTTCTTTGGCCGTGTGTTTCTAAGGCCGTATAACGTGGCACAGCTTTTGGCAGTGCTAGAGGGGAAGTCGCCGCAGGTGGAATTGCTCAGGGAACACTCGTCGCTTCACCTTGAACCTGCTGTCGTGCTTGACTCAAAGGGCGAGCCTGCACGCGGGCGCTCCGGTGCGGCAAAGGATGCTTTGGCCGCATTACCATCGACATTTTCACTCGCCGGTAGATTGACGCTGAAGGTATCGGCGAGTGCTCGGCCGACGACTGTGGACGATGAGTTGCTTCAGGAGGGCGATTACGAAACGGACGAAACCCCCACGGATGCAACGTATAATCTTGACGATCAACGCAGTTTTCGAGCAACTGTGCAGGGTGAGGACCTGATTTTTATAATGAAGCACCTTGACGCCGTACTCAACGACATGTTCGGCATCGAGCACCAGTACCACGCACGTGTGGCCCTGGAGCTCCTTCGCAAGCATCGCCGGGGGGGCAGTCAGTTCTTTGAGCAGGAAGCTTACGCAGGCTTGCAAACTGTGCCGCGCTACAGGAGCGAATTGGTGGACACTCCAGATGTGGAGGCGCCTTCAGGAGTTTCAGCAACGGCGACGACGAAAGTGGCGCCATCTTCTGTAGCAGAAAAACCAAAAACGGAGAAGGGCAATGCTGTTGAGGACTCGGGTTCGGTGGCTGCGGCAGCATTGGCTGCCGCGGTTCTTGGTGCTGCTGTGGAGCCGCTTGCCAGCAAAGCGGCATCGCTGGCACAACCTGAGGAGAACAAGGTATACAAGGAAGACACAGCGGGTTTGAGTGGTGCGGGAGATGGGCTGGAACCCCCAGGCAGTGATCCCCACTCCTCGGCAACGAATGCCGCGCGCTGTGTTGCCCACGATAAACAACACGATGACGATGAAGATGAAGAGGAGGATGAAGAAGAGGATGAAGAGGAGGATGAAGAGGAGGATGAGGAGGAGGATGAAGAGGAGGATGAAGAGGAGGATGAAGAGGAGGATGAAGAGGAGGATGAAGAAGAGGATGAAGAAGAGGATGAAGAGGAGGATGAAGAAGAGGAAGAGGAGGATGAAGAGGAGGATGAAGAGGAGGATGAAGAGGAGGATGAGGAGGAGGATGAAGAGAGGATGAGGAGAGGATGAAGAGGAGGATGAAGAGGAGGATG